CGCTAGTAAACAACACCTAAAATATAATTTAATAAGAATCTAACTTTTGATTAAATTGAGAACTGTTTTTTCTTTGCAATACCTTACAGAAATTAAAGGAAGAGAGGCTCACTCTTCAAGAAAGAAAGAAGGGAAGGAATATTAGTGATTTGAATGAAACGATGCAAGGTAAGAGGTGGACTTGCAGAAAATCTTGAATAATAATTATAAAAAAAACAGAGAGAGGAGATGCAAAATACATAAAATATAATGCGGACAATGAAAGTATACAGGCACACAAAACAAACATTGATGCTAAGCACATAATTAATTAAACTTGAAACCAATCGAAATATGAGAGACTCAAGGAGAAAAAGAACAGTTTTAATTCTTGCACAGAACCAAATTAGTTAGATAAGAAGGAGAATTAAGAAAGAAGTTGAAAGCTTAAGGTACTTACATGACATCCTTCTTCTCTTCCTCCTGTCTTAATTTCTTCTTCGTATTTGCAGGTGATGATCCAATGCATCGTTGACATATTTATACCCTGTCAAACAGGGAGTCCTAGGAATTTGCAAAGAAGATGCCCCACCTAAACTGTCGGTCAAAAAACCGTAGTCTGTGATAGTGTGCTTGAGCATTGAAAAACTACAGAAAATAATTATCCACGGGCTTCATCTCCACACAAAATGATACAAAATAAAAACAAAAGAACCAGCTTTTAGCCGTGTAAAAGAGAATCAAATGGTCATTGCTTGCAGGCTGCAGCTGTAATAGTCGTCGTCTCTTACTTCTTTAATGTATATAGTTTTCTTATCTTTCTAGGTGCCATCAGCATGGTCTTGGCATTTTCTTGAATAAGACGTGTGGTCGGCAGCAGTATTGGAGAAGTTACCATACGATTAAGCATTGATCAAAGTGTAAAATAACCCAAAAAGATTATGGATGGCTTAGTCATAATTCAATCATTTGCTCCATAAAATAAGATTATGGTTGTCGTCTGCATATGCGGTAGGTTCGCCTTGGATGCCCCACCCAATGTAACAATAGACTCACAAATAACATAAAATAAAATAGAATCACCATCTATATTAAAAAATATTAGAAATTCTACGGTTGTATTGATCTAAAAATTTTTAAATAAAAGATTTATTTATATTTTAAAAAATAACCACATCACATCTACAGTCTTTATACAAACAAAAGGTTATATTTGCTATGTATTTTCTTGTAAATTTTTCTTTAATTTCCATTAAGTGTTTTATAAATGTTTATAAATTTATTTACAATCTAAATGTTATTTACAATTTATATTTTAATTCAATGTCAATCCTAAAATAGAAAAAACTTATTCATTTAATAATTCTTTAAAATGTGGTGCCCATTTCTAAAAATAAATTACATATAAACTTGATAATTAATGAAAATTCGACATTAGTCATTTATGAAAAAAGGCTTTTTATGAAAAAAATTGACGGTGAGCCCTTAAATTAGGAAAATTTTCAAAAAAGCCCTTTTGGGATTTAAATCCCATGTTATTTAATGTTATTCTCAATCAAAACAAATACAAAACATAATGTAAAATAAAGTATCTTACTCATAAAACACGCAATCATTATATTTCATTAAGACCATGTATTTTTACTAAAAGTACAACATATAAATAAAAATCCATTACAATCACCAAACACAAACATTAAAATTTGCATAAGATTTCATGAAAAAAAAGTCATTGTCTTCTTCTATTGGTACAGTCATGCCACATATATAACCATTGATACAACATCCCTTTTTTCCATCTATTGTCTATTTTCTTAATTAGGATCCCATTACTAAAATCGAAGCAATCAGATCTAGTATTGATGAGATTTCATAATTACAATTAGCAAACACAGAAATAAAGGAAAATGGTACCTGGATTGAGAGAGAAAGCGAGGAGAGCCGAGAGAGTTGATAGCGAGAACAAGATTTTTTTTAGATTGAGAGGAAAATGTTTTACCAGTGTTTAGGAGTGTAAAATATTTTGATTTCCTTCTTCTTTCTGTACTACTGTTGGCTTAAAATATTTTCTTTTGATCACTTGCACCTAAAATATTTTTTTAAAAAATATTTTATATGAAACAAACACCCCTAACATAAAATAAAATAGAATCACCATCTAATATTAAAAAATATTAAAAATTCTACGGTTGTATTGATCTAAAAAATTTTAAATAAAAGATTTATTTATGCTTAAAAAAAGAACCAATCACATCTACAATCTCTATACAAACAATCTAAATGTTATTTACATTTGCTATGTATTTTCGTGTAAATTTTTCTTCAATTTCCATTAAGTGTTTTATAAATGTTTATAAATTTATTTACAATCTAAATGTTATTTACAATGTATATTTTTATTCAATTTCAATCCTCAAATATAAAAGACTTATTTATTTAATAATTCTCTAAAATGTGGTGCCCGTCTCTAAAAATAAATTACTCATAAACTTGATAATTAGTGAAAATTCGACATTAGTCATTTGAAAAAGAGATTCGTCGAAAAGGCTTTTTATGAAAAAAATTGACGGTGAGCCCTTAAATTAGGAAAATTTTCAAAAAAGCCCTTTTGGGATTTAAATCCCATGCTATTTAATGTTATTCTCAATCAAAACAAATACAAAACATAATGTAAAATAAAGTATCTTACTCATAAAACACGCAATCATTATATTTCATTAAGACCATGTATTTTTACTAAAAATACAACATATAAATAAAAATCCATTACAATCACCAAACACAAACATTAAAATTTGCATAAGATTTCATGAAAAAAAAGTCATTGTCTTCTTCTATTGGTACAGTCATGCCACGTATATAACCATTGATACAACATCCCCTTTTTCCATCCGTTGTCTATTTTCTTAATTGGGATCACATTATTAAAATCGAAGCAATCAGATCTAGTATTGATGAGATTTCGTAATTATAATTAGCAAAAACAGAAATAAAGGAAAATGGTACCTGGATTGAGAGAGAAAGCGAGGAGAGCCGAGAGAGTTGATAGCGAGAACAAGATTTTTTTTAGATTGAGAGGAAAATGTTTTACCAGTGTTTAGGAGTGTAAAATATTTTGATTTCCTTCTTCTTTCTATGCTACTGTTGACTTAAAATATTTTCTTTTGATCACTTGTTATTTTAAGTATGAACAAACACAGTAAAACATCTAAAATATTTTTTTAAAAATGTTTTATATGAAACAAACACCCCTAATTAATGGCTAAATTTTTTGTCGTCGTATCAATCCATGCGTAAGTGTTTATAGATTAGGGTTAATGGATAGCATACATGCCAATATACCTTTTATCAAGCATATTCTTGTATTTTTATACTCCGGTGTATACAAAATAATACCGTTATTCTTTCTCTTCAATTTGAAATAATAAAAAAAACAAGAACCATGTTCTCATGTAAAATCATGATCACTTGATTTCAAAACGAAACCGAGCTGCATCATGGTCTAAAAATCTTGGTCCATGCTGAGATAGTGATTTGACAGCAATGAAACCCCAGTCAGTAGTGGTCTCCAAACCATTTACATTAATCAGCTTGAGAACTAGACTTTGCAAACTATCAGTTCTATCTATATTCATCCCGGGAGCTAAACAAATGCATTGGTCCAAAAGGTGAACAAGGTTTATTAGTGTCTAAAGATAAACAGATGCATTGGTGAAAGATTTATAATTACCGTTAAAGAGAAACAAATGCATTGGTGCAAGCTTTTTTACTGTTGAAGAGAAACAGCATGGCGGCACATCTTGAAAACCTATCTTAGGATTATATACAAAAGAAAGAAAAAGGATGGATGGACATGGCATAGATCTAACCAAAGGAGAAGGGGCTGATGAATTTGGAAATCAAGCCATGAATACTTGCTGCAACCTCATGGAGAAGAAGAAAGAAGTGAGAAGGCACTTAAACCTTACAAAACCCATGTTCTTACTCGTTTGAATTGGACAAAGGGGATGGATTGCAGCAAACCATTTTATACA